GGGGAGGGGCTGGAGGCCGGGCCCGCCGAGCCGCAGTCCGGTGAGCAGGGAGCGGGAGCGGGGCCCCCGGGCTGGGGCCTGTCTGTAGCCTGCACTAGGAGCGTGACCCCCGGGGATCTGTCTCCCAGGATCGGGACCCTCCAGGATAGCCCCGGCTGGGACCCGTCTCCGCCCCCGAGGGAGGGCTGGGGGGAGCAGGCAGGCAGCAGGATGGTGCTGGGGAAGGCAGGCGGCCCTGGAAGGGGTGACCGTGACGATGGAGACTGGCCAGGCCCTGGGGTGCAGGTGCTGGCAGTGGAGGGAGGCCTGGGGCTAGGGGAGCTGTTAGCTCTGGGCTCGAGGGGAGGGGGTGATGGAGGCCCAGCGATGCCCCCCCAGTTGTTGAGGGCTCTCTATCGCTGGGGGTGATCTAGGCCTACGCTCTGCTGCAGCTGTGGGGATCAAATTTAGGCTCGCAGCCTCAAATCACCATTTTAAGGCGCATTAAGGGTGCCATTAATACACCTTAAATTGGGCCAATGCACATTAAATGCGCACGTGTAGCTGTGTCTGATTTTGGCTGCTAAGCCAGAAACAAATACCAATGGGGCAGAGGCTGGGGAAGGGGTTCGGGTGGGGTGCGCTGGGTGGGGCCTGCCCCCCCCCCCTGCCGCATGCTGAGAAGCGGCAACGTTATAGCACGGTGCCTTTATTCTAGGGAAGAAAACCAGCTTTCCTGCTTAAGATGCACTCCCTAATTTTAGAGGGCTTTTCGCAGGGGGCAAAGGTTTATGGGATGTGAACACATGCAGTATATTCCTTGATCAAAAGTCGTGTGTGGTCGTGGGGGACCATCCTTCAAGTCTCCCCACCCTGGTGCCTGGGTACACGTAACGCTCTGTTCCCTTTCCCCACCCAGGTGGCTCGACATATGAGGAGCCGGCCAGCCCACCCCCACGGCTAAGCGAGCGCACGGTGCGGCTGCGGGGGAAGCGCAAGCGGGCCGTGGACGACATGTTCGCGGAGATGTGCCGCCGCAGTGAGGAGCACAAGGCCATCCAGCGTGCCCGCCTGGAGCAGGAGGAGCGGCTCATGGAGCGCTTCCTGGAGCATGAGAAGACCCAGCGGGAGCAGGACCGGCAGCTCCTGGAGCGCCTGGTCAGTGCCATCCTCAGCCAGTCCCAGCCGGCCTGCCCCTGCCAGCGTCTGGGCATGGAGTGAGGCCGGCCCCTCTCCAGGATCTTCTCCGGGGCGACAGACAGTCCCAACCGTTGGGGTGCTGGCTGTACTGCCCAGGGCCCCGTGGACAGCTGCGTCCTGGGCCTGGCTTGCGCGGGGGGGGTGTCGTTGTGTCATGCAGGGGTTGGTGTTGGGCTTTGTTTCTGTAGCGTGGGGTTAATGGCATTGTGTAGCACAAGGCAATCACAGGTGAAACACTGATGGGTGCAGAGCAGCTGGAGAGGCCTCACAAGAGTACTGTACTTTCTGATATGCCACATCACTTCCCCCCCAGAAAACAGCTCCTGGGAATGTTGGTGCGCCTTATATGTGAGAAATACGGCAAGGAAAGAGCTTTTTTCCCCCCCTTCAGTCTGCCTTTCAGATCAAGGGGCGCATTATATCCCAGGGTGTGTTGTATGTGAGAAAGTACAGTATCTTTTCCAGCAGTCCCCAGCCTGCCTGCCTCTTCTGTCCTGTTTCTTAACCTGGGTGTCTTAGTTTCCTTAATAAATTTAGAGGGTTTATTCTCCCCCCCACTCTTTTTCTGGTGTACTGGGTATTGTTGGAGTGCTTGCAAAAGAATAAATATTCCCTCTGATACGAAACATGTTGGGAAAGCAGGATTGGGTCCCTTGGAAACCATGAAACCGAGAGCACCGCAGGCCACAGCCTAGGCTAGTGCAGGGGCCAGGAGGTCTGGTGCAATACAAAGGTCTCTTGGCACTAAAGCCAGCTGGGTGCCGGGTTCCCCTTGCTGGGACAATAACTATTTGGGGATGGTCCTGCTTTAAGCAGGGGGCTGGACTAGATGTGACCTGAGGTCCCTTCAAACCCTAATTTTCTATGATTCTACGACGCTAGGTGGGTCATCATCTGATGCTGTGAGATTTGACCCCATTCTCCAGAGCCTGTGCCAGCTTTGGCTGTTGTTTTATTACTGGCTGTACAGGGCGGGAATGAAAGCCACAGCTCGTACACTCTGGGGGTCGATGATTGTCCTAACGACAGAGACGCGGGTTATTGTAGAGAAGTGGGGCAGGAAGGGACCCTCGGAGATCACAGCTAGTCCAACCCAGGAATGATGCCGGATAATCAATGGTTCTGTAACTCGCAGTTTAGAACCGCGGTGCCAGGTGACACCTCTGTCCTGCTTCCAAATTTCTGGTGGGGGTGGAGGTGATGGTGCACGAAGGGAAGATTTTGGGTAGGGGCTGGAAAACCCTGTGGGGAGTGGGGGAGATGGGGGCAGAGCAGCAGGAGGCTGCTGGTGGTCAATGAGGTTAACAAGGCAACTTGGCCTGGGCTAGCTGAACCCTGTCTCTGAGGGGCATTTGCCCACCACCACAGCCCAGCACAGCAGAGGCAGGGGCTTCAGCGGGTCTCTCAGGCTGTGGTGCAGCTGGTGAAATGTGCCCGGTGTCTGGGGTGGGGTTGGTTGCAGCTGGACAAGGGCAGGGGGCACATCCAGGGATAATGTCCCTGGGATAAGTCCCTGGTAGGGTGTGTAGCTCAGTGGTAGAGCACCTGCTTTGCATGCATGAAGCCCTGGGTTGCATCTCCAGCTCCTTTTTTTTCCCCCAGCACCTCCTGGTCGAATGTGAGCCCAGGGAGGAGATGCACCCCTGGGACAACTGATGCGGGTGCCCAGCAGATGCCTCCTCCCCTCAGCCTTGAGACCCAGCAGATCTCAGTGCTCAGGGAGGGAGTTTCACGGGGTCCACAGTGCTATGGGGTGGAGGTGGCTATGGGCCTGGGGAATATAGCTCAGTAGTAGAGCACCTGCTTTCCATGTAAGAAGTGCCGAGTTCAATCTCCACCTTCTTTTTTTATATTTCCTACCTGGGCAGGTGGTGGTTTTGCAGGCATCGCAGCTCCCTCTGCTCCAAGCTCTCCCTGAGTGTTTTAGAGCTGGACGGGTGGCCTCTTTGGTGAGCGTCGGCTACCCCTGGGGGGTCAGGTAGTCTTTTTGAGCCTTTGCTTTCACCCTACAAGGAGGAAGAAAAATCAGTCCAGCTATATCCAAAAGGCAGACTGAGTGCCCACTGCTGCCTGGGCTCTCTCAGCCCATCCCAGGCCTGAGCAGGGGCAAAAGCAGCTGGAGATGCTGGGGATTGAATCCAGGACCTCCTACATGCGAAGCAGATGCTCTACCACTGAGCTACATCCCCCAGCACATATAAAGTCTGTGTCTGGTCCCACTGCAAGGCACTTTCCCCCTGGAAATCCTGCCCCCCGGTATTGAGATCTACTGGGTCCCAAGCTTGCGGGTTCCCACGCCCGGCTTAGAGGGGCCGGGGCCTGGTGAGTTCAGCTGTGGAGCTGCCCTGGAGCCTGGCTGCTGAGGGGACCAGCAGGGGGGAAGCCCCAGCTGAGGGTCCTGGATCCTGGCCTGAAACCTCAGCATGAGGCTGCCCCTGGGGCAAAGCAGCAGGAGGTCAGAGGTCAACTCTGAGGCTGTTCAGGTCACACGTGTCTCTAACCCCTTCCCCCTGCAATGAGCTCTGCCTGGGGCTGGCAGAGGCAGGAGACCCTGGGGACACATCTGGAAGCCTCTGCTCCAGGTCCCTGGAGCTGCAATGGGGTGCAGCAGGTCCTTACACCCCCTAAAGTCTTCTAGGGAAGAGCAGGTGGCTATATCTACTGTGTGTGACAGAGAAGCAGGGGAAAAAACAAACCTAAAGGGTGGCTCTATAGCTCAGAGGTGAGAGCACTGGTCTAATAAACCAGAGTTGTGAGTTCAAATCTCACTAGAGCTTTGTTAGAGCCAGAACAAAGCATGGGCGGCTGTTTCGTAGCCGCGCTGCAGGAGTGGGGGAGGAAAAGCCCTTGTCTTCTAGCTGCAGCAAGGGGATTTTTCTTCTTGGGGGAGGGAAATGGGCCCAGGCCACACTGTGCTGCGGGAGGAAAGGAGGACGGAGCGCAGCATCATGGGGTACAGGAGGTGCTGCTGTGCATCTTCATGGGGCCACAGGGCCGGGGTTGGAGCCCGGGACCCCCACACTGCTGGCGGGGGGACTCGTGCCAGTCGCGCCAAGGTGGTGGCTGCCATCTTGGGGGTTCAGCCCAAGGACAGATGCTGCCTTCACCCGGTCACGCCAAGGTGGGGGTGGCCACCTTGGGGTTCAGGCTGACAGCAGGCATCGCCTTCACCCAGTCACGCCAAGGCAGTGGCGGCCGTCTTGGGGCTCAGGTCTGCAGCAGGCATCGCCGTCACCCGGTTGCGCCAAGGCAGTGGTGACCGTCTCGGTGCTCAGGCCTGCAGCAGGTGCACCCCCACCCCGGCATGCCATGGCAGTGGCCATCTTGGCCACTCACGCTTTGGTGACGGCAGCCATCCTGGGGCTCCCTCCCAAGGACAGACGCTGCCCTCAGCCTGACACGCCAAGGCAGTAGCAAGGCCATCTTGGGGCCCAGCCACAGGCCAGGCTCACACCGCCACGGCAGCCATTTTGAGCAGTTGCCTAAGGGCAAGGCAGGGAAGGCGCCAAGGTAGGGCTGGCCACCCTGGTGGACATTGGAGGGGCTCCCAGTTCACTGACTGCAGTGGGGGAAGGGGGCATGGCCGCTAAGAGGGACGGGGCCGGCCACACAGTAGGCTGCCAGGCAAACAAAGAGTCCTGCCGCCATTTTGATAGACCACCACCTGCCCACTTTCCTCTTTACTGCGCATGCGCCATGGGCGACTTGTTGCCCTATGACGCATGCGCCCCACCCCGCTCGGTTTTCTCTTTAATACGCATGCGCCACCAGGCACTGTTGTCCCAATACCCCAGCGCCACCAGGATTCATTTACCCTGCTACCTATCCCCTTCCTCTTTGCTGCGCATGCGCCTACGGGGCATACTTTCTCCCCTCCCCTCCCCGTGCGCATGCGCCCAAACCTCACGCCGGGGGGAGGGGTCACTCTATGCTGATCAGCACACCCTCCTCCCCCCCATATTCATCTAGGCGCATGCGGATTCCCTCCTGCCTGTGCAACACGCATGCGCGATCCCCTCCCCTTCCTGAAGCGCAGGCGTGGCGCTAGCCCCGCCCCCTACCCCACGGGGGCTCCTGATTGGCTGCGGGGCGGGGTGAGCGCTAAAAACAAACGGCTCCGGTGGGGAAGCGGCTGGGTGAGGATGGCGCTGTGCTGCGGACGGTGGGGGCTGCAGAGCTGGGCCCGGGGGGCAGCTGAGGGGAGGGTGGAGTTGGGCCTGGCGGGCACCGGGGGCTTAAGGAGAGGGGCAGGGGGCCTGGGGGAGCGCCGGGTGGGTTTGGTTGAATCAACCCGCTTTAAATCGCTGGTCGGGAAGCCTTGGGTTAATCGCTGTTTTCTGCCAAAGGCGCTCCCTCGGTGCGTGACGCGGATTAACCGCGTTGTTCCCGACTCGGGGAGAGGGGACCTTGTAAAGCAACGATTTATTCTGATTTTTTTCAGGTTAATAGCAGAAAACTGAAATAAAATTGGGTTATTTTACTGACTGGAGCTGATGCTTGCGTAGTGGTTGGGAGGTGAGCTATGTCTGATTCACTCAATTCATCCTGGATATTTGGGGGTTATTTTTGCCATGCTGTTTGGAGGACACCCAGCCAGCATGGGTGGAGGCCCTGTGTTATCAGCTTGGGGATTTCTTCACTTCTAGATTTTTTTTTCTCTTCTCTCTTTTTTGGCCTGGCAAGCCTGCTGCCACGGTGGGCTTTCCCTTCTGCCATCCCACTGTCCCCATGGACCTGGGGATTTGGGTAGGGGCTGGAGGTGGGGCTGGGTTTGGGGGGCTAGGGTCTAGGGATGGTGGGGGCTGCAGGGAAGGCTTTGGGGTGGTGCTGGGGGCTGCTGAGGAAGGGGCTGCAGCTGGAGGCTTGGGAAGGCTGAACTTCATGGTTAAGAATAGGAAAGTGGGGCTGGGAGATGGGCTGGTGGAGCACTGGGTTAAGGGCATCTTGGTGCTGCAGCTGGGGGCTCGGGTGGAGGACGGCTGGGTTTGGGGTGATGCAGTTGGAGGATGGGGGCTGGGTTTGCAGTGGGGTGGGCCTTGAGGCAGCGGAGGAGGGGAGCTGTAGCTGGAGATCTGAGATTTGGGAAGGATGGCATTGAGTGGGGCATGGGTGGTGGAAAGCTGCGGGGCTGGACCTAAGGGAGCTGAAACCAGGGACTTTGGGGAGGGTAGATTTGGTCTTGGGGACTGGAGAGCTGGGCTTTGGCAGGATGGAGGTAGTTGGGAAGGGGAGCTGCAGCTGGGGCCTTGGGGAGGCAGACATCGAAGGCTGGGGGGCTGGAGCTGGTGCTTTCAATGGTGGGGCCCAGGGACTTTGCAGGGGCTGGGTGCTAGTTTGGCAGAGAGGAGCCTGGAGTAGGGACTAGGAGCTGGAGGGCATGCAGGGTGTGGAGGGAACTTTGAAGGGAAATAAATTGGTGTTGGAGGTAGGAAGGGAGCTGGGTGGGGGTGAAGCATGTGTCTTGTTGCCTCTGATCCCTGTTCCCCCTTCTTCCTGCAGTGCCATGCAGTCCCAGCCTCGGCCCAGCATGAAGGAGCATCGCCAGCCCGACGCCCCTGTCCCAGTCCGTGTCTGTGTCCGTCTGCGCCCCTGCAGCAAAGACTCAGAGCCCTGCGTTCGTGGCCTGGACTCGCGCTCCCTCGAGCTTGTCAACTGGCGCAATGCTAAGGAGACTTTCAAGTACCAGTGCGTGTGGGGGAAAGGGGGGAGGGATGGGGGGTTTTGGCAGCCTGCAGTGGTGATCACCCTGCTGTTCCCCCAGGTTCGATACCTTCTACGGGGACACAGCCACCCAGCAAGATGTCTACTGCAGCTCTGTGCAGCCCATCCTGCACCACTTGTTGCAGGGGCAGAACGCCAGTGTGCTGGCCTACGGGCCCACCGGGGCGGGTGAGCATGTGGTGAGGGAGAGAGGTGTCTGGGTTTGTCCTGGGTTGGGATTTGTCACAAGGCCCTCCTGCCTCAGCTTCCTTACATGCTCCGGTGTGCTCTGCTGAGCTTGAGGCTGGGGAGGGGGGTGGTGAATTTTCTGGCTGGTCTTCAGTCCACCAGCACACAGGTCTCTTTCTTTCCTGTGGTGGGGGGGGCTCAGTGCTGCCTCTCTGGCCCCCCTAGGGAAGACGCACACCATGTTGGGCAGCCCCCAGCAGCCTGGTGTGATCCCTCGGGCTGTGCGTGACATCCTGCACATGGTGCGGGAGGCTGGCTGTGGCCCTGACGGGCACAACTGCTCCTACTCTGTCTCCATGTCCTACCTGGAAGTCTACCAGGAAAAGGTATGTGGTGGGGAACAGGCTGCGGGCTCCCAGGCTTTGAGGGGAGAAGGATCATGGGTGCTGGGGAGGGTATAGGGGCGAGACACTCTCGGGTTGGAGTCCAAGCAAAGGAAGCCACAGCCCCCTTAGGGTACCCGCAAAGTCTGCAAGAGAGCCGAGGCTTGTTCCAGCTCATTCCCCATCTGTCCAGGGACCTGTTTTGTCCCAGGTTTCAATCCAAACCACCTCAAATCCCAGCAAACAGATCTATGTCCCTGTTTCCCCCTAACGAGCTGCCCCCTCTGAGTGAGCTTGAACAGCAAACACCCCAGAAAGCTGGGCTAGGAGGAGCAACAGGCCATCCTGGAGGGTTTGGAGACCTCGAGTGGTCCCCAAACACTTTCCATTCAGTGCCGCCTCCAGCAGCTTTCTGGGCAGCGGATGAAACAGTTGCGAGACAGAGGAAGTGGCTTAAAATTCCTGTGCCACAGTGTGGGGAGCAGGCCCTAGTGATTTGGTGCACAGGAGAGGGGCATGGTGCTCAGGGGGGGCTAGCCTGGACTTGGTGATTCAGGGAAGGGTCCATGCCTCAAAATGATGCTTTCCTAGAGGCCTTGGGTTTTTACATTCCCCACCAGCTGCCTAGGGTCCTTGCTGGCACTGTTGGGACCCCCATGACCCCCCTAAGCCTGGTGGAGAGACTCCTCCGCTCGTTCTCCCTCTTCTTGCCCCACTGCCATCCCCTGGTGTATGGTCCCTCTCAGTGCCTATCGTGTTCAGGTGCTGGACCTCCTGGAGCCGTCAGGGCGGGACCTGGTGCTGCGTGAAACGCCAGACCGCAGCATTATGGTGACGGGGCTGACAGAGCAGGAGCTGAGCAGCTTCCACGACTTCGAGAAGCACTTCCTGTTGGCCAGCCGCAACCGCACCGTAGCCTCCACAGGTCTCAACAGCCGCTCGAGCCGCAGCCATGCAGCCCTGGTACTGCGCGTGGCCCAGTCTCGGCCCCTGGTCCCCGCCCGCAGCGCCAAACTGCAGCTGGTGGATCTAGCGGGCTGTGAAGACAACCGGCTCACTGGCAACTGTGGCCTGCGCCTGCGTGAGAGCAGCGTCATCAACACTTCGCTACTCGTGCTTGGCAAGGTGGTGGACGCCCTCCGCCTCGGTCGGCCCCGTGTGCCCTACCGCGACAGCAAGCTGACCCGCCTGCTCCAAGTGCGTCCTGGGCCAGGAAGGGGGTAGTGTTGGGGGCTGGAGCCAGGGCACCTGGGTTGTCTGGGAGGTGAGACCAGGGAGCTGGGAGCCAGGGTACCCGGATTCTGTGGCTGAGTCTACAGGGGCTGGGAGCCTGGACATTTGGGTTCTCTGGGGGCTGGGATCCTGGATGCCTGGGGTCTGGTTGTCTCAGGCAGGTGATCGGGCATTGATTCCAGAAGGTCAGGACGGGGGACCCATGAGGTTCTGGTGGGCAGAGATGGCAGCTGACCCTGGGTCCCTCCTTTTCTCCCCCCCCCCCCCGCCCAGGACTCACTGGGTGGCTCGGCCCACAGTGTGGTCATCGCCCATGTCGCCCCTGAGCAACGCTTTTACTTTGACACGCTCACCACCCTCAACTTTGCCACCCGCTCCAAGCAGGTGGTCAACAAGCCCTTTGCCCCCGGGGCGCTGCCCGAGCCAGGTAAGTTGCTCCTGACTCCATTCTTGCCCTCCAGCTGCCGAGAAGACTCTGCAGAAGGAGAACAGTGACAAACAGAAGCAGTCTACCAGCAAGGAAGGTCCCCTGGTTGCTGAGAAGCCCCTTGGGTACTATGGTGGGGGGAGGAGGGCGATGGGGGACAGAGTGTGGGTGTCAGACAGGGCGAGATGGGCACTGCCCAACTCGCCCCATCTTTGCCTCCCTCCAGTGCGCTTCTGCCCCTGGACCAGCTGGAGCCCAGCCTGGTGCAGCGCGTGCTGCGCCTGGAGGAGCTGGAGCGGCAACAAGGTGCCGGTCACCGGGGGCTGCCCCTGCTGGGCACCCCCAAGGCCGAGCGGAAGGCTCTGCTACGCTGCCTCGAGGAGACACAGGCTGAGTTGGAGGTGGGCCCTGTTTTTTTAAATGTGCTTCCTGCCCTTGGGCAGCCCTTTGCACTGCACCTGGGAGGCCCTGGAGCCCTAGCCTCTCCCTTCATGAGGAGGTTCAGCCCAGAGCAGCCTTCCCAGGCCTCCCTCCTCTGACCCCTCCTGCCTTCCCTCCACAGAAGATGAGGCAGCAGCAGAAGGAACTGGAAGCTAAGGAGCTGCTGAGAGCTGCCTCTACACCTGAGCCTCCACAGGCTATCGTTTTGCCCATGCGGCAAGGTGAGAGCAGCGGGGACCCAGGTGTCCAGGCAGCCACTAATTTCCCCCCTTCTCACCTAAGCTGGGTGAGACCCAAGGGTCATTCTCAGCTGCTTTTATTCCCCCCCCCCCCCC